TGCAGTGGGAGACCTTGGCCTTTTTAAGCTAAGGTCTTTCCCAGGTCTCAATCTGTCTGAGGCAACACCCATTCAGTGATTTAAGGCTGGTAAGAACTGAGACAAAAGATGGCCAAGTTTGCCTTCACAAAAGAATCAATTGGTGTGGGGAAGACTCTCAGAGATTCTCAGAGAAGAGACTTGAAAAAGAAAGATCACTTAGAAAGATTACAAGTTTGTTGTAATAGTTTAGAAGACGGATGATGAGTAACAACTAGGGAGATCATTCTATGTCCATAGAGAGGTGAATGGAGGAGAAACTGAGGAGGTAGAATATAGAAGACTTGGCAACTGATTGTATATAAAGGGTGAGTAAAAGTGATAATTTCGGAATAACTCTGAGGTGACAAACATGGTGGTACCCTTGGCAGAAATAGAGAATTTCAAAAGAGACATAGCTTGGAGAAGAAAAGATGGTGAGTTTCTGTTTTGGACATGTTGAGTTTGAGATGCCTGTAACAAAACCAATGAGAATGACAGGGAGTGAGGACAGAAACAGAATTATGACCAAACCATTTGTCAGTTAACAAGCATTTACTGAGCACCTCCTATGTTCCAGGTGCTCTACTAAGCTTGGGGGATACGTAGAAAGACAGAAAGTCCCCGCTCTCAAAGAACTCACTTTCTAATGAGGAAAACATCATAAAAGTAATTGTCTACATGCAGATACGTACATTTTATCTAATCGAAAGCTTTAGGCTTATTTCTTCTTTCTCAAAAGAGGCTAAGGTCTGAGATCCTGGTAGTTCATTTTACCCACATTAAGATTTGCAATCAAGTGGTTAAAACAAGAATATAATTGAATTCATCCTCTCCACAATTCTCCTGCGAGAATGATTATTTGGCTCAGAGCAGGGCCAGCTCTCACAAACTGTAAGGTTGGAAAGGATCTAAAAAACTAATTCACAATAAGGTGTTAATGATTGATAGTGTGTTGTACCTGCCAAAGGCATTTGCATTTTATTCTGGGAAAATTCCCTAATTCAAGTGAATGCCTTTTCAAAATCACCTTTTCTCTTTAAGAAGAAAATCTGTATTGCTTTCTTTTGGTTTTATATCACCCTCACATCCAAATAGATTTCTGACTCACTCCCTGTTCCCTAGAACCATTCTTCATTATCAAGAAGAAAAAAAGGGGGAAAAAAAGCACTGAGATGGGGAGGAGAAGAAGTTCAGCAAAAGCAACCAATACATCAACTGAGTCTTGAAAGTAAATACGTTTCACACCCTTGGTCCCCTACCTCTGCAAGGAAGGGTAGGAGATGCATTTTCTCCTCTCTTTTTTTGGGGGGGAGGGTCAAGGTTGATCATTGTAATTACAACATTTGATTTCCTTTTTTTGTTTTTTTGGGGGTTGTTTTTGTTTGTTTTTGGCTAGGCAATGGGGTTAAGTGACTTGTTCAGGGTCACACAGCTAGTGAGTATTATGTGTCAGAGGCTGGATTTGAACTCAGGTCCTCCTGACTCCAGAACCGGTGCTCTATCCACTGCACCACCTAGCTGCCCCATTGATTTCCTTTTAAGTTGTTCTTTCCATTTACATTGTTCTATTTATTGTATAGATTGCTTTCCTGATTCTGTTTATTGCACTTTGCATCCGTTTATATATGTCTTCCCAAGTCTCTCTGAAGTATATGCATCAAGTACACACAATCATTTCTAACAACACAGTAATATTCCAGGAGAATGGTATTTCAGTGGTAGAATTCCAAGCATCAGTGACCATCTGGGAAGTGAAATCTACTTGGACATGCATGGTAATTTTCCGTTTTATCCCAAATCATACTGCATAGACCATTTCTTCCCCCACTTACATGTAAACTCAGCCTTCACCGGAGGTTTTCAACTTCTAGGGTTTTTTAAGGGTAGCTTCTCTGCAAGATTAAAGCCTCAAGTATCCCTTTCCTATGTGATCTTTGTAGGTACTACAAAGGGCTAATTTGAAACAGAGATACCACATCACTGGAAAAATGAATTCCTGACCATCTTCTCCCACATGACCCTGGCTGTCACTGAACAGAAACTGGGCCAGGACCAAGAGCTATCGAGCTTATTGTCATCAGATCAGATAAGTCTATCGTGACTGTGGTTGGGAACACAGTGATACCAAATGCACTCTTTGTGTGTCACCTCACAAAGGATCCCAGGCACTTTGCAACAGAACAGATGGATGAAAAGATACATCTGTGTGGCCGTGATGAAGGAGGAGGAGGAGGGAGGGAGGGAGGGAGGGAAGGAGGAAGTGCCTGGTCTTGATTAACAGCCACTGGAGCCTCCTTGGAAACGAAACCCAGTCAGGGCTTTGAAAACATAGCCCTTGGTGACTGAAGGCACATGGGCTTTATGTGGTCACCATGAATACAGGGTAGAAAACATTAAGAAAAATAGCATTCTAAGTGACTCTGGCAAGAATGAAAATGAAAGAGTAAGGTGTGAGCAGAGTCAGGGCACTAAGCCACTAAGCCCCCCTGTAGTTTGAGGAGAAATAGGGATACTTTGAAGGGCCAGGGGAACTGAAGAGAAATGTAAGATTAGGCCCCACCTATGGCACATTGCAGCAAAAAAAAAAAAAGAGCATTGGACTGGCAACTGAGAGATGTGGGTTTTAGTCCTGCTTTGGCAACTAGTCTTGAGACATTGAGCTTCTTGCTTTATTCTTCCAGACTTTGGTTCACTTACCTATCAAAGGTGTTGTGGGGCTGAGGGGGCTACCTGCAGTCATCCTGATCTATACCTTGCCACTGGACCCAGATGGAGGAGAAAGTGAGGCCAGTGACTTTGCACAGCCCTCCCTCACTTAAATCCAATTGATTTGCAAATCATGGAATCACCTCCCTGATGTCATGGTCCTCTTGGAGAATGAAGGACAAACAACAGTAACACATAAGGCTGGAATTTAATAAAAGACAGAAAAGTGTTCTGCGGTATAGGAGAAACAGAAATTACTCCAGAGTTAGAGGTCCTAGGTTCAAATTTCCACTCTGCTACTTACTACTTATGTGTCCTCACTTAACGTGGACCTCCACTCTGAGAAGACTGAACTAAATTGCCTCTAAGGTCTCTTCTAGCTTTAAATCCAGGATCTTTTGAACTTGGGCAAGTCACATGTCTACCCTGGGCCTCAGTTTCCTCATATGTAAAATGAAGAAGTTGGACTAGATTGCCTTTGGGGCCCATTTCAGCTCAAGAACTATGATCCAGTAAGCCATAAGTGTCAAATACATGACCCTTATCCAAGTCAGTCCAAACAAGACTTAAATTTATTTCCTGTCTGATATTAATAGGGCAGGTAGGTGGTGCAGTGGACATAGGTCCGCAGTCAGAAAGACCTGAGTTCAGATCCAAACAGACACTTACTGGTTGTGTGACCCTGCCTGGGCAAATCACTTAGCCCTGTTTGCCTCAGTTTCCTCATCTGTAAAATAAGCCGGAGAAGGAAATGGCAAACCACTCCAGCATCTCTGCCGAGGAAAACCCAAATGGAGTCATGAAGAGTTAGAAACTACTGAACAACAAAACAACCTGATTTTAATGTGTTGATATTTATGGAAAAAGAAATATACGAATATGTGTGGTTTTCTAAATCAATATGCAGCCTGCAGGGATCCTTGTGTAGTTTAGGGGTCCCCATTACTATCTACATTTGACACTACTGCTAAAAGCAGCAGTATTCTTACTAGTGCTCTTCCCTCATTGCAACTCAGGCCACTTTTCTCTAAAAGGCATCTAGAAGGGCTAGAGAATAGAACCAAATACTCTCCATTTCCTAGATCTTCCGTTATAAGGAGCCAAACAAGTTCATCACATAGATTAGTTTGTCTACAGGTCTGACATCTCTTCTGAGTACCAGTCCTACATTTTCAGCAACCCAAAGGGCAAAACCAAATTTGTCCTCCATAAACCTGTTCTTCCCATCGTGTGACACCTCCATCCATCTAGTCCCCCTCCCCCAGAAACCTCGGAGTTAGTTTTTCCTCTTCTTTCTCCCTTACCTTCCATATACAATTAGTTTCAAAGTCCTGTTAATTTAAGTGCCATAACTTATCTTGCATCCACCCCCTCCACACTATTTTCACTGCCAATAACCTGGAACAAATCTTTGTTTTCACTGAAGTGAACTATTTCAATAGCCTCCTAACATGGAATTATCTGGAAGACACCTTAGAGATCATATCCAACCCTCTCATTTTCTCAGTTTTGATCACTTTTAACAAGCTCTGATTAAGGATCATTTTTTGCAAGCCATTGTGCTAGGAATACGAAGGCCAAAATTGAAACATAGCCCCAACCTTCAAGGACACTATATTCTTCTGGAGAATACAAAGAGACAATTTGAGGAAGGAGCAAGCGCTTAAAAATGAGGGGAATCATGAAAAGCTTCCTTTAGGAGGGAGCATATGAGCAGAGTCTTAAAAGAAAGAACGGATTTCAAGTTAGAGGTGAGGGAGGCAGGCGATCACAGGCAGATAGAGCACAGCCTTTATGGAGTCAGGCTTCCTGGGACATTCTGCATGTGACTGCTATGTGGAAGATATGCTTTAAGATTGGTGGAGAGTAAAAAGGCAGAGAAATGAGAGCAGGAATATTGAGTTTGAAGCTGAGGAAGCTGGCCATTTTGGCTAGAACACAGCGTGAAGAAAGGTGAATTGGAGTTACATTATAAAGGGCTTTATATACCCTTTTTATTTTATTCAAGAAGCAATAGGAAAGATTCTCAATCAGGGGAATGTGATCCTACTTGTGCTTTCAGAAGATTTTTTTAAATTTAAAAGTGTATCTCTCTTAAAACACTTCCCCCACATTATCCTGACTCATCTCCTTTGGTTAAGCAATTCTTCCCAGAAAGCTCCTACGAAAATAAAACTATACTCATACCAACCCTGTAAGGGCAATACTATGAGTATCATTCTCCCTATTTTGAAGACCAGAAGACTGAGACTAGGAAAGAATAGGTATCTTACCTATGGCCACAGAGCTACTGAGTATTAGATGCAGGATTAAAACCGCAGTCTTCCTGATTCCAGGCCCAGAACTCTATCCGCTGTAACAGGATGATCACATGCATCTGCTGATCTAGCTGTATCTTCAGTTAAAAAAAAATTAACAGAGAATACAATCAATTATCCTTCACAGCTAGAGCTAGGAGAATTATTAGCCAAACAAAGTATACAGGCAAAGTACAAAAGATAAAATTGATTCTTTTGACTACACAAAATTAAAAGCTGGTGCATAAACAAAGGTATAGCAAAATCTCTGACAAAGTCTGACATCCAAGATATGTAGAAAGCTAACATAAAAATATATGACAAAAAGTCATTCCCCAATGGATAGGTGATCAAAAGAGGATTTGAAAGCCTTTAACAACTTCAGTGTTCTCCAAGGGCTATCCCACCAATTCTCCTTTGAAGGTTGGGTGCCTCCAGGGATGACTAACCGGGTTCACAGTTATTCTGTGAGTCTGCACTCCTAAAACTACAGCTCATAAATCCCCAGTGATTTGTTTACCTTATCACTAATCCACCAGAATACACAATAAGTTCAAAGCAAAGGCATCTTTTGAAACGGCATAGTAAGAAACAAACAACACTTTGATAAACCTGGGGCACACTTTCCTACAGATACTGCCAAAATCAGTGCAGAAAGTTGACATACAGAGAGTTTACAAGTAGAGGGATGGGTACGCATAAAATATGTGTAGCCGTGACACACAGGTGTAAGGAGGCTCCACTTCACACTTCTAGTCCTATAAGATAGCTGACTTCCTCCCATAATGTCCTCATACTGCCCCCTCAGAATTTGATGATTCTGCAGGGCAAACCACTCCACTAAATGTCCTGGGCCTGCTCCTGGGTAGGACGCATGGCCATGCTGCTTAGCCATGGGATGTACCATCTCTAGCTTCAAGTTTGCAGAAATAGTGGTGTAGGGTCCTGCTATGAACTTTCAGAAAGAACCAGAACACATATACTCTAGGAAAACTGGGAGTCTTTGGCTCTAGGGCTTGAGTAGAATCTTAGCTTCAGGTATTAAGTCTCTGCCTAAATTCTTTTCATCAACTTAACTTAGCCTGTTCCTATGGCAGAATTCTAGCTCTACTGGCTACTGCCATGTATAATCAAAACCAAATTATAGACAGTAAGAGCCAACGACTAATTAAAGTTCACTTCATTCAATGACTAAAACATCAGTTTTTGTACTTGCTCTAACTTGAAAATCCTAGACACTTCTCCCACTTCTCAAACGTTCATGAACAACTCAATCAGAAATATGAATTTTAAATTCCGTCTTCAGTAGAGTGTAGTTCCTCACTGTAGTAGTACATTTTATCTTTCTAGAAATTCCTCAGGATGCTTCCCCCTTCCCTTTTCCCTTTTACAGAGATTAATGAGTATGTGTCATAATCCACATATCGATAAAAGAAGCCATTGTGGAATTCAGAAACTTCCTCTGGGGAAAGTGAATTCTATCTCTGTTCCTAATCTCTTATCACTGTTTCTATTAAAAAAAAAACCACACAGAGCTATTACTGCTGTCATTTCATATCATGAAACTGTGTTTATTTGCAGGGCAGGGAGAATAAATAGAAAAAAAAACACTAAAGAGAAATATAGGCCTTGGCCCTAGGATTTAAATAAATCAACATTCCCAATTTAATTTCCACTATAGAGTTCTGTTTACTAATGGAAACAAAGATGATTCAATATAAACTACATAGCTACAAAACTGTGTCTTCATTTTATGTAATGCAAGAAAGAAATAATAATCATATAAAATCATGATTATCTATGGAAAACAGCACAGAGCATTTCTACTATAAAAATAAAGGATCATAAAAAGGCATGTATCTTTCTATCTCTACCTAAACATGTGTGCATACATGCATGTTTATGCATGTTTTCTACTGAAGTCTTAACTCTGATTCAATCAATTCAATTTAACTCAGGAACATTTATTAAGCACCTTCTATATGTTGGGCACTGTGCCTGTGCACTTGGGATGTAAATAAGAAAAAGAGACAATCCCTGACCTTGAGGAGCTTACAATCTAATGGGAGGAAAGAGAACACATAAAAGGAAGCTGAAAAACTGGAGGAGCTGTTACCTGGTTTGTGGCCATGCTGTTCCCTGGAGTCAAAGCCAGGTATAGCTGTTGATGCAAAATGGAGTTGCTCTTGGCGTAGAGGTGGCCTGGATTTCTCAAAATCTATACTAGCAAAGCATGGGTTTGGAAATATCCTACCAAGCAAGAAAGAGGTGTTTTTCTACCATGGACCAGCTGGTGTAGACTTACCTATGTCCTCAATCCCTACCACTCACATGTGTAAGTTCATATGTTCTGGTCCTCCCTTTTGCCCATGCAGAAACTACTAAGGACTCAAAACTCTTTCATCCAAATAACACCTATCTTATGGAGTCTCTAAATTCATCATCCAAAATAGTAAAGTATGCATGCAAGAGAACCCAGAATACTTTCAAACTTTTCAGCTAGATGTACAGTCTTGGGACAGCTGTTTGCATATGCTACCTTAATCCATCACACACTTTAAGCCAAAGTTTGCCTCAGGAGCATCCCCAACCCTCCAAAGAGCTCTACTTGGAGACCCACACATACAACATAATACATTCCCTCTCACCCTCCAATTCATGCTGCTCCTCTCTGCAATTCATACCAGTAATCCTTCTTTCACGCCCTGTTCTCCACACATTCTCAACAGCTCTCAACATCCTCTCTCACAAACATCCAGAGACTGGCCTTCCTAACTACACTTTTTCTACCAATTCCCAGCTTTGGGAGAATATCCTGACTACTCCTTTGTTAGTAACTATGGTTAAATTAAATTAAAATGACTTTTTCCATTCAGGGATATAACCATTTCACATTTAGAGTCCATCAGTAGACAAGTATGACTATCAAGCGATGGATTTTTTTTAACCATAATAATTAATAGTAAAAATCTAACAAGTCATGGTAGTGATTGATTTGCCTTCCTGATGTAGATATACCTACATTAATGAAATAACAGTTTTTTTGAAGTACTGAAAATAAATATACACATATTTGTAGTATACTTATTTATATACAGAAATGTGCGTGTGTGTGTGTGTGTGTGTGTGTGTGTGTATAAACATACAGTGCATATATGTTTATACTTCAGTATGCCCAAGTCTGTTCCACTCAGCAGGCCCTATCATTCCCGAAGCTATCATTCTGTACCTATCTTCACTTTCTCAGGCCAGCTCCTGGCTCTCTACACTCATTATTTTCACTTCTCCTCTCATTCAGCCCTGAACTCTTTGCAATCTGGCTTCTGATCACACCACTCTAAACTTAAAGTACTCCCTAAAGTAACCAGTGATCTCTGATCTGCTGTACCTGATATCCTTGCCTCAGTCTTCATCTTGACCTATCTGCTGCATTGGACACCTTCACCATCCTGTCCTTCTGGATCCTCTCTCTTCTTTGAGTTTCCATGGCACTATTCTCTCCTACTTCTTCTGCCTTATCATTTATATCGAACACCTAATTTAGAATGTTCTCCAAGGTTCTGTCCTGGGTCTTTCTCTTCTCTTCTCTTCTCTTCTCTTCTCTTCTCTTCTCTTCTCTTCTCTTCTCTTCTCTTCTCTTCTCTTCTCTTCTCTTCTCTTCTCTTCTCTTCTCTCTCTTCTCTTCTCTTCTCTTCTCTTCTCTTTCTTCTCTTCTCTTCTCTCTCTCTCTCTCTCTTCCTGTGACCTAATCAGCTCCCATAGGTTTAATTATTATCTCTTAGCAGATAACTCAGAGATCTATATAGTCAGCTCCCACCCCAAGTTTTAGTCCCCTATCAACAATTGCCTTTTGAGCATTTCAAGCTGTATATTCCAGAGACATCTTAAATTCAGTATGTCCAAAACAGAACTCATTATTTTTCCCCAAAAAAAAGATCCCCTTCAAACAGACTTACCTATTTCTGTCAGTATCCCATATACTCTTTTAGATGTGTTTTCCTTCACTATTATTAATGTAAACTCCTTGAGGGTAGGCATTGTTTTGTTCTCTGTATTTATAGCCTCTGTGCCTATCACAGGGCCTGGCACATAGTAGGCACTTTTTAATTGATTGAGTCATTATCAAGGACTCATTATTTCATTTGTCCCTGCATGTCACAGAATCATAGATTTAGACCTGAAGGGACCCCTCAGATTATTTTAGTTTAGTCCCTCATTTTAAGGCTGAGTTTGAAACCCAAAAAGGTTAAGGATTTCCCTAATGCAGTATGCAGCAGAATATGAAGATGAACACAGGTCTTCCTCCTCTAGATTCATTACTCATTTCAATGCCTCACTCTGTTATGTATGTGTGTGTGTGTGTGTGTGTATGTATATATATATGTATGTATGTATGTGTGTATATATCAAAAATTTTGGCAGTCACTGTGGTCTCAATAAATATTTTGAAACATTTACTCATTCCCAATGTATGATTTTATATCCTGACCTACAGAAGATATTAGTTTACTCAATTAAGTCCATCAGAAATATTGTTTTCTAAATTCATTTTTCTCTTGAAGTTTTTATGAACAACCAGTGTCAGGATTTGTTCTGATTCCTAACAATACTTTCTCCTCCTCCTCGTTATTCTTTAAAATTGACCAGAAATTTCATTCCTTTTTTAATTCCTTCCACTGCATCTTATTGATCCTCCCATATATTTTAAAACTCTGACCCCTCAGGAATATCTCCAAAAACTAGAATGATTTCCCAAATTAGTAAGTAGCCTTGTCTAGAGACTCAAGATCAACTTTAGTTACTGAGCCTTCATTCTGGAAAAATAGCAGAACTTAAGACAAATGTCTCAACAGAGCTTTAATTTAGAAGTATCTAAAACTTTATAGACATTGGGCTATATTTTTGCCTTATATATAATAAATACTTGAGTACTTGTCAAACTGTAGGATAAAGTATAGTGTCAAAAAAACTAGATGAATAATGAAAAATTTACTCAAGTCAATAATTTTGTGTCACCTATCCTTTTGCTACCATACCAACTCCACCTCCATCTTAAAAAAAAAAAGGTGTGAATTCAACCACTTATGTCTTTTTTACT